TGTGAACGAGCTTGTTGAGGGCTACTCGTGGGAATTATAGGAACACCCGCTCTATTTGCCCGATCTCACCCCATGTGACTTCCACCTGTTCCTCAATGTGAAAGAAATGCTGCGAGGTCGGCGATTTGAGGAAGAGGGCTAGATTCAAGAGGCTATGAGTACAGCAATTGGGACCTTGGACAAACGATCACTGACCACTGTCTTTGACCGCTGGATACACCAAATGGGGAAATATATTGAACTTAATGGTTCCTACGTTGGATAGATATTTGAATAAGCTTTCTGTTGATACCAAATACAAGGTGATTTATAATAATATGTGAGGACAGCATGACAGGGAAACTTTATTCTGAGACAGACACGGGCTTACTGGATCTTTGTAAGGTGCTCTCTACGGCTACACGGCCAATTCAGATCGTAGACGTAATAACACATAGAAGCACACGTTTTCATCAGCTAAAATTATAGAAAAGGTTGGAGCTCAAACTACTTCTAGGGGAGAATTTAACTTAGAATAAAGAGATGGGAGAAAAGGCGACTTTTCTCGTCTCAGTAATTCTCAAAATGCGGTGGGTCACAGTGAATATTGAAAAATTTATTCGTTTTGTTTTTATTGCTTACTATTACTATTAGTTAGGTGGTCAAAAAGTGGAAGCAACCTGAGCCCCATACACATCTTGATCCACCCACCGCCACTCAACCTACTGTCTGTTGAGGCTGCGCAATTAGAAAGGTCCAAGCATGACTAATTACATACCATGAGTGTGTACAGCTTTTAAGCAAATCAGCTGGTCCGCTCTACAACGCGGCCATTTGATCAAACTGTGTGTGCTTGGTGAAAGGTCTCAGCCGTCAGAGATCCTGAATACTGAAATAAGGGCATATTTTTGTAGCAGATTCAAAGCTGAACACACTGATTTTGATTTTTTTTCCAAATATCTTGAACCTTGAGAGTAGTTCTAAAGAAATGCAACATTTTGTAACACAGGTTGTACTACCAAAGTTTGGAGAAAAATGTCTTTAACCTTGGTATGTTGACCCACTTTTCTAGCACATTTTTAACCTTTGGTGAAGTACATACTACATTGTGCTGCCAAAATATTTTTTTAGAAACATTTAGACTTAAAATCTTATTAAAAATCCTTTCAATGTGTTATTAAGAAATGATTAAATGTGTGTTTTCTGATGGATCTGAATTTTTAACCAGGTACGACTATTTGGCCTTTTAACCCAGTTGCTCAAAAATAGCTTTGCCGACAACTGGGATCGTTCTCCGGGCACACACATTTTTTAAAAAAGGCCCCGGTTACCAATAAATCGGACCCTGTTTACACTTGTACACGACTTGAAAAAAAAATGAAGACGAATTTCACTTTGAGAAAAAGATGACAGAGCTTAAAAAGTCTATCACTTACCTTTTCCCAACTGGCCTTCTTTACGAAAAAGGAGATGAAGGAATAATAGCTGAGTGATAGCTTCAGTGGTTCATACGTTGTTGGAACATGTCTATTTAAATGCATCAAGTAATACGGGGTGCATCATCATCATTGCCTTTCTCAGCCTGCAACAAGGTATAGGCCACGAACAAACACATTTCACCTTTCTCTATCCTGGGCTAGCCTCTTGATGTTACATTCCAAGTCTTCCCACTTTTCTGTACATCGATTTCTGTGATTCAAAACTTTCTTTGTTATGCAGCTGCCGAACTTTCTGAGAGTATGTCCAATCCATCGCCACCGCCTTCTTCCTACCTCATCTCTGACTGGGATCTATCTTGTTTTCCTTAACACTTCCACATTGGTGACCCTGTCTATCCATCTGATCCTCAGTAGCTTTCTTAGACTAAGTTAGACACCTGTTCAGGAAAACCTGGATCCTCTTTATGTAAGTCTGAATACGGGTGCACTGTCCTTTAAAAGGGTTGCCCTCTGGTCAAATGGATCTGATGTGCATGATCAGATGGAATCGGGCCCGATCGGAATGTTGACCTCTGTTTTGATTCATCAAATCTGGCCTGAAGTTCATTTGGACCTATTGCATTTCGCACGTAAACACACTAATATATGAACTCACAATGCTATGTAATGTTTCTTAAAATCCACCCGATGGTAAGAAAGTCAAACATTATAGATTTCGGAGATTTAAAAAAAATCAAAGTATGCCAAGATGTCAGTTGTATATATTTATATATATATATATATACAGTCAAACATGCCCAGACTGCCACTTCTATAAGACGGTCACCTGTACAAACGGCCACTTTCCATTTCCCCCCTTGCGTTTTTTCTATATAATTTAACTGTGTAAAACGGGCACCTGTCCAACGCGGCCGCGGCCACCATGTTTTAACACACAACCCCTATCACAACAAGAAATAATACATGTGACTCCATTACGTTTTGTCATAAATTGTGCATTAGCCCCTTGCGTTGTGGGCAAGCAGTCATAATTCATTCACCTGTCGTTGCTGTTAGGTAGTCCCTCCAACCGATCATGTTGCGCAGGCCCCTCCCACTGTTGACCAATAGCTTCTAATTTTCAGCTGCTGGTGAAGTAAGCCTGTGTATCCCTCATAACCCATACGCCCCGCCCAGATAACTCATACACAAATCGTCACTGTTTACCCAGTCTGTAACAAAGTAACAAAGGACTTCAACATGAACTTGTGACAGAAGCGTGGCTCGTTCTCAGAGTGGTGGTGACCCATGTGTTTGTTTTAACATGGACTGGGTCTTCGTCTGATACATTTCGTTTTATTGTCACCCTTGTGCAAAATCAGCAACAAAATAAAAATTACAAACAAAATACAAACCAACAACAACAAAAACAACAACAATGTGGCTACTTTCGATTGGGACCTCAGATGGGAATGGTTTGTTTTCTTCATCTTGATCAGTCCTGCCTAAGACGGTCACCTGTCTTATACGGCCACTTTTCTCCTTGACAATGGGTGGCCGTCTTACACAGGTTTGACTGTATATATATATATATATATATATATATATATATATATATATATATATATATATATATATATATATATATATATATATATATATATATATCCCCCCCTCTCTCTCTCTATTTCTCCGACCTCAAAGGTATTTTTTAAAAAACAAGATATCAAACAGGGATTTTTCCGATCTGACGAAGTTTTATGTCGTGTGAACTGGGCTGTTTGAAGACAGGCAGAACGGTAAGGGGAAGAGGGGTGGTGACAGCGAGCCTAATCTAATCAAGAAAATGCGGAGCTTGATAGAGCTCAGAGGCAAACATTTTCAACATATGTACTTGCTATTCACGACTCACAGCGTCGGGTAAAGCTCAGTGGGCTGGTTTATTCGTCTGCTAATGGGTCGGGCTATTATTTGGTAGCATGGAGCAAAAAATAGACATTAAATTTTAAAAATTAATTCTCCCAGCATGGGTAGCCATTGGCGGAATTCCTTCATGTTCATGAGAGAGAGAGAGAGAGAGAGAGAGAGAGAGAGAGAGAGAGAGAGAATTTTTCGTTGTGTGCACATGTACATTATAACTATTAAAAACGTGCATGATTGATAACCGGCGCAAACAATATTCAGACTTTACTGTAGGCCTACATTTTAGATGCACGTTAGATTAAATCACGTCGTCACACATTCCCCCCCTTACGTCAGTCAACTACAGCTATCCTATAGTGTCTAGATCTTTGCGGTTACAAAATAATACATTCAAACTAGGCTGAGGTTGTTCGCAAAATGGCAGATAGAGATTGATGATGTAAAAAATGCGATTGGTTCGGGAGTTACCTGAAGACGCCGTTTTCCAAATGTTTCTATCCTGTTTGCTTTGTTGTGTGATTCAAGCAATGGAGAACCTTATATTATTCATATCACACGAGTTAGTGAGTTATTTTGGCGTGTGTCAGTTAATTTTAGTTCGTGTACCTGCACCATGGACGAAAGGTGTTAGGCGTGGGCCTGATCTCATGAACAAAGTGGGTCAGTGGAGCTCCACCACAAACACCCTGTTACTCTCACTGTGACTCGCGCTAGATCAGATTATTACTTTTAGTACTTTTACGTTTTCATCCTCTGTTGCAGTTAAGCGTCGAGGAAAAATTCAGTTTTCTGCGATAGGCCAACTCTGCAGCTCTTTCAATTGGGATATTACAATTTCTCAGGGTTTCCTTGTCTCCCTCAATCCATCTTTTGCGTGGCCTTCCTTTTCCTTTATAGTATAGCCTAAGTACTTGGTTTTATAAAGGCTCTCGAGGCTGGCTGGCCAGGCGACATTCGTAAGGCCGAACCATTTTATTCTGTTTTTCTATGAAATGCAGGCAGCACTCGGTGCCAGTAACTGTTCCTGCTTCTTCATTTTTCTGCCTGTCTCATCTTGTGATGTTAAGGGTTTTTCGGAGACATTTTTATCTCGTATGCAGTGAGCTAGATCAGAATATCTTATATCATGTACTTGTATGTTGTACTACACGAACTGCAGTGAAACTCAGACTTATAGACAGGTCTTATTTTCCAGTGTCTATAGTGTAATTGTCAGGCTCATCACCAAGATGCTGGCAATGTCAACTTCTTCATGGATAGTGCCCAATTTTGCCGCCTTCTTAAGAGTATAAGAAGACGCTAAAATTTTCGCACCGTCCACCCACATGTGCACAAGTACTGTGGAGTCCACTTACACTGAAGATAAGAGGGGTAAACCGTCAGAAAATGGAATCCTTGATTTTTTTCTCTTACTTTTAGGTTTAAGCAACCTCTCTAAAAAGAAAACCTGGCTAACCTGAAGAAAATCCGGCAGCCCAACTATTATCAAAAGCCCTAAAATATTCAAATTTTAGTGATAATAATAATAAAAATAATAACAAAAACAATGATATTAATAAATAACATTTGTAGAGCACAAATGCTTGCTCAACAGCAAGCTCAATGTACTTTACAATCTATATTAATCTATATTATATCATACATGAACAGACTAAATATCAAAAGAAACAACAATCCTAAAAAGTTTCATTCATATGATTTATTTACATGATTAAGGCAATGCGTAATTTACATGTACACATACATCTATAATAAATACAACCAGTGCTTATTAAAAAAATCTAAGCCTGACAGTTTTGTTTAGCAGTTCTACAAAACAGATTATTTAAGGTAAATAAAACAGAGCGATGTATTTTATACATATTTGAAAATTCTCCGACATTTAAATAGCCATTCATACCATGTCAGAAACATTTGTACTCCCAGATCTTTTTTTGACCTACCCTTGTCATGTATGCTGTCTGATTTATAAGAAATTAAATTGTGAGAAGAAAGAGAAAAAACACAGGTGTGGGGATTTGTGTGAGAGTGTGTTTTTGTGTGTGTGTGTGTGTGTGTGTGTGTGCGCGCGCATGAGCGAGGGGTGGGGTTAGGGGGGTAAATGTTATCCACAAAATTACAGTTCTGACAAAGTTCTGTAGATAAGTATCCAACAATGTCTATCTACGTGGGTTACATTTAAAAAATCCCCAGTGTTTTCTTAAGAAGGCAGTGTAACGTAAAGGCACCACAAACACTCTAACTACAAACTATAAATCTGTCTGTGTGCATATATGTTAAGCGATCAGGTATCTCACTCAAAGACCCTGGTCGTCATTTAATTTTTCATCTTTAAAACCCATTATTTTCAGTGCTCCACCACAACAAATTAAAGTAGAAGAGGCACCTTTGAACTCTTCACAGCTAAGTTCAGAAAGACACAATGCATAAAGTATACCCCCCCCCCAAAAAAAATCATAAGAAGTGTGAAAATACTACGAAACAATTCCAAATTAGAAAATTGGCCATCATAGAAATACCTTTCTTACACCCCTCCCCAAATACTTGCCTGCAATGCCTTACTGCACAGTTAGTCACAAAACAAGCTGCAAGTGTCTCCCTTCGGCTACTATATGCAGACACAAATGAAGCTGTCTTCAGGTTGAAAGCTACATAATACATATATGTTCACAAAATGCAACTTCATACTGTGTTACAGTTATCAAAAGTTAGTTGTCACCTTCTATTCCCAAAGACTATTCTATTTTTCCCTTTTAATGTAAAGGTAATGATTTTACGATAAACATGTAGTTCACTTTGTTTTATGAATGTACACAAATCTTCAGGTATTACTTGTGCAATGTTTTCCAAAATAAAAGTGAAACAATTCTGATGTACACAATCCAGTGATTTTATGTGGTTACCTCACACGAATGTCGTCTCTTCTCCATCTGTGCTCTCTAATTTTAGACTCAACCAGCCAACTATTTAGGGTCAGTTCACTTTGGAACATATTAATTATAAATTTAAGTAGCATTAGCCATCCACCAGGTTTTTTTTGCCCATCAGGGTACACAATGTACTTGGATGTCTTCATCACCCCATTCCAACTGCAGTGCTTTCAGCAGCTGAAGCTGAAAAGTTTAAGCAATGAAAATTTGTGATGAGTCTTTATCTTAACTTCCGACGACAACTTGCCCTACCATGGACGGAAAAATAAATTGATTTTAAATCAGAGACAGTCTCATCAGATCCCAGCATCAAACAAAAGGCAGAAAGTTATGGACATAGAGGAATTGTGCGAAAAGGCCTGTAAATACAACATTACCCCACTGCATGAATGATTCAATGACTTACATTCGTACTAGAACGCCATTGCTAAAAAAGAAATAATTTTAAAATGCGTGAACCGGGATTTAAAAAGTCAATCTTCAAACTGACAACTGTCACTGGTTCATCAAACATCTTCACACACCCTCATTGTCGCCATTTAAACTTTTTTTGAACATATTCTCTCTCTGATTTTAATTTACCTTTGGAATTCAGAACTATCCACAGACTGCAGCTGTCAAAACAGAGAAAACAACCTGATTCAACTTATGGAGTTTCTTAAATATTCACACATAGGAAAAAAACCAAAGCATTCAACTGTCTAAAATGCTATTAAATCCAAACTGGTGGTTAATGAGAAAAATTATAGTTGATCTCATCCATCACGTAGTTTTTGGCTCTTTAGCCTAGAGTCATAAATGGCATGTACTAGTGCAATGAGAATATTGAGTACAAGTACACACCATGTACTGTTTGTGGGAGGATGAGAAGAAAGAAATGTATTCCTTAGGTCTCTGAGGGCATGGCAGACAAACAAACAAGAGATGTTGTTGAAAGCCTGTGCCACAATTTCAGATATCTATTGTGTTCTGCTCCAACAGTATGAGACGGGAACGGGAATAACTAGACCAACTTGTTTTTTGCTTTATAACTTTCTCCGAGGTCGGTTGGCAGGACCTCAATAAAAATCAGGAGTCAACATACACTTAGTGTACAGGTACTGCGGGCCAACTATTATGTCATCTCTCTTTAAATGGTTCTTGTTAGCCTGTTTTTCAAGAAACCAGTTGCATGATTAAACAAAACACCATTAATGTGTGGCATGCTAACTCATGATGGCTCTTATTTAGTGCAGAGGTTGTTGTGGAGTGGTGTTGCAAGTCCCCAAAAGCAAGTTGGTAGCCTGATTTTTCCTGGGGAGAGGATTGATATTGTAATCAAAATTTTTTATGAGACATTTTTCTGTCATCAATCCACTGAAGTTTTTTTTTCCCTCTCCAACCTGATGCCACGCTACAGAAAGTGTAATTATGCCAAGATGTTCCTGACTAAATTACGGTACAGATGGTTATCCCAGACACAGGGTATAAAGTCAACACGTAAAACAAGACATCCTTTGCAACACATAAAATATTATGGGGTAAATGTGGTGAACAATGAAAAAGATATATATGAGTAGATGAGTAGAGCAAGCCATCAGTGTCCATCACTTCTCTCTCCAAAGCTTTCTTGGATCTGAGAGAAGCACAAAGGTGGCGAGCCCGTGACTATCTTTAGCTCTTTGCGGGACTTTGTTCCATCATATCACAGACGTTTTTTTGCAGATCTCTTTGTTCTCAAGCTGACAAATCTTTTCAAATCTTAGGTCTCTTTCCTCTGGCTGTTCATGCACTCCTTGAGTTGGTTCTCTGTCATGGTCATTCTCTTCTCCAGCAGTGACACCGTCTGCAATAGACAAAATCAAAGATGTTATGGAAGTGATTCAGTTTGTTCCTGACAAATTCAAAGAGATGCAGTACTGATGGCTCTGGTAACTGTCAACGGATGAAGTCGAAGTTGCAAAAAAAAGTGACAGTTTGTAACAGACATGTAGCTATAAATACGATAGAATATCCAGTGCTAGTGACTGGGCAGTGACTGATGTATTCAAAGATGCTTCACATGCATGTGCTGGAGTTTGCCAGCTTTTGATTGAGTAAATACACTGCAAACGTGCAAGACAGGAGTAAGTCTAAAAATGGAGCACTTTGTGCACTTGTTAGTTTTAGCAAGAGTTTTACAGCACTTGCAACACAATTAGAGCATATATGTGCTGAAGAGTAGAGGTGTAACTAGATAGTAACATACAAATAAAATAAAAAGGAGAGATAAGAATGACAGATGTTCGATATTAAAGAAGGAGCAAACCACACCAGAGCATCCACCAACCACACTCACTTGTGCAGCTGCTTAAGTAAAGAAAAAGGAAGGAAGAAAGAAGGCAGAGACCATACACTAAAGTAAATATTGCTCCTGTACAATTGAGCATAGATATCATACAGGTATATTTTCATCATGTCATGGATTATACCTCCCACTGATGTGCTGAGAGTCTATACATTTATACATCCTCCACAACAAACTGTTGGGGAGTTGATTATACACAAATTAGAAGGTGTAATGTATATGACTGGGTCGGAAACAAATGAATTAGATATAATGAATATGAGTAAGTCGATTTTCGAGGCAAAGCGAAAGGGAACAATACTACAAGATAGCACGTAATTAAGTTGAGTTGATAACATGAACCTCGCAGGACCAGATAATTTTTTTTAGTTAATTGTAAATCTGCATGGCGAAAATCACTCGTTATAAGAAACAGATCAAGACAATAGTAATACTTAACTCACTTGAGCCTATTCCCGTGTATTTAAGGGATACGCTTTATTGATCGATATCTCCAGTGTTTTTTGGTTACAGGCAAGGGGAAGCTGTGAACCAACAGTAGACCTACTTGTTTCATTTCATTGAAAGTTATGTGCGATACTTTTTTAAAGTTTTAATGGACTAGGTCAGTCACCCTCGCACTGCAATAGGCGATTTTATTATAAATTGGGTGAAAATAAAATTGCCCTTTCAAAATATTGATAAAATAAAAACTATCCGAACAAATTAGATGCAGTTTTCTTTTTCTGTGAGAGCATTTCTTTCTTTCTTTTGTTGCGTTTTTTTATATTTTGACAGCTTTCAGTCTTTTTGTCGTCAACGATTCAATATACTCCAAAACTGTCACGCTGCAATGGTTGCTGGGTGAAAAATAGCTCAGGCTCAAGTGAGTCAAAAGAAGTACAAGAAGCAGACCTTGCCACACAAGTCATCTACCCAACAACAACCCCGGCAAATCACCTGAGTTAAGATGTCCAGCTGGCTGGCCACATGCTGCACAAAGTCGGACAGCTCAGGAGACAGCGTGCTGTCCAGCTGTTGAGTCATTGGTGCTGAGGAATCTCCCGCTCCACTCGTCATTGTGGAGCCCGATTTAGAAGTGCCCAGCTGCTGGATACGGGGAACAGCAAATATTATTATCCACATGTCATGCTAACAATAATTTGACTTTATTCATATAAGAACGACAAGTGCAAAGTTGTAGCAGCCAGCATAAGTTTTTAGTTTTAATTAGAATTTTACTGAACTTGCAACACAAATAAGTCAGGTTTGTTTGCTTGAGTAAAGAAAAGCACATCGATACAAAAATGGTCATTTGGTGTTGACAAAAGTAAGACAGATAAAAACAACACAGAGAAAGTAAAAAAGTAGGTGCCCTCCAACCACCCACCTAATAAGTCAGGTATCTGCCGAAGGTAAGGTATTACTAGCAAGTAAAATACAAGGAAAACATAGAGGAGAGATAAAGACAATAGATGTTTGAAAGGAAAAAAGAAGCAAACCATACCGGAGCACCCGCCAACCACAAAGAGCCAGCATGATGATAGTGACATTTAGCCAGGAGCAGAATTTGAAAATAGTCACAATGGAAAAAAGTGGAAGGAGCAGACCAGAGCACCTACCCACTGCCTGTTCATTTCTATAAATGAAATATGTTTGACAAACCATAGTCGGGCAACAATGCAAAGTAGTTGAAGCTAAATCTTTTCATCTCTGAACAGTGACACTCATTCCTTACACAAACACAGAAGCACTGGCTAAGGGAAACTGCCCATCTAAATTCAAACGTGCTTACACACATAAAAAAACAGCAAAAGAAATGAGATGGTAATTTACCCTTTGACAGAATCAGGAATAGCAAACTAAAGACAAATGTCACATTGCTACACATTAAAGAAATGAAAAAGATGCTCATAACAAAGACCAACCTCTGTAGGCATCACATTTGTGATTCCCTGAGTCACATCTTCCAACCTGCGGATTTCCTGGCGGGCATCGATCTAAGGAAAAAGAGAAGCAAAATAAAAATAAAAATCCAATTCAGTTTTAAACATGTATACGAATACCACTTTGAGTGTAAAATTTCAAAGCTGCTTTTCTTAAAAGTGTGATTTTGTACCCTGCAAATAATAAATAAGTGGAACAGTGTTAAAAACAACTAAAGACAGGAAGAAAGCCTTGACTCAACCTAGTGTGTTTAGCTGAAACTTTCTAAAAGAACCCCCCCCCCCCCTCTTCCAAATGCACTCAGTGATTCCCAACATATTATAGGGAATGTTCTCAATCACACATGCAAATTGTCATCTCTTGCGTAGCTTGATTGCCTGAGCCATTTTAAACCGCCATGAAGTCTGCAGGACAAACATATCTTTATTGCCACAAATAGCAGCTCTACTTTTTTAATGACCCCACATTTCAATGTTCTACAATAGAAACAGTATTTATGAGACTAGTCACATAATATAGACCATTAGTACTTACAGTGTTTTCACTGGACACAGGTCTCGGGGAAATCCTGTCCTGACGGGGGTGGATGTCGTCTATCGTGGGGCCTTCCACCGATCGGTCTCTCTTTCGTTTGGACTTGATGTTTGCCTCACACTCAGCGTCAAAGTTTGTCTTCCACACCAACACCTTCAATGGATACAATCAAACATGAGACGATAGTTACTTTTCAAACAAAGATGAAAGTAGACTTCTTTCTCTGCTTTAAATAAAGTAAAGAATAGTATGTTTTCTTTGCCCAAAAATAAAGGGACTATTTGGGTCTTTCTATGTTAAAAATGAAGAAGAGTATAATAAGACACAACAATACTGTGAGGTGAGAAAAAAGGTAACTTCACCAATCCAATGTTGAAAGAAAATGGCATCATGCTTTCATCAATGTTATCAACATACTTGTTACATTGACAACACCAAGTCAGCATGATAAAGGATATATTTGCTAACAATTGATCAATACAACAGGAACAGTTTTAGTTAGTTTTAGTAAAAGTTTTACTTGCAACACAATAAGGTCGTATAAGTGCCGAAGATTTGACGTGTTACAGAGGAGTTACAAACACAAAAAGGGAGGAGAAAAGATAAGGACAATAGATCCTTCATATAAAAGAAGGATCAAACCGCACCAGAGCACCCATCAACCACCCACCAAAAAGAACATTGAAAATAATCCAAGGAGCTGACCGAGTCACACCCAGATGTGACAAGATGGTGGTTACAAATAACACACGGCAAAGAGAGACATTATTTCCATCAATCACACAAATCAACAAGACATAGGCCATCCACAATAAAGACATCTCTAGAGGACTATTTATCAAATCATTCACACATTTTCAACTCAACTCACACATCAATACAGGACAAAACATGATGATCAACACAGTACAAAAACATGCATACTAATCATCATTTTCTGATAGACACAACAGCAGCTCAAGTAACCACAGTAGGCTACCAAATAAAAATGTGCGATAAACTTTCTTAGCAAAGTTCATTTTAAAAATCAAGCAGCATTTTCCCGAATCTCCTATCCAAATATTTTAATTAAACTATCTGATCCTTTCCAAGAAAGTCAACATTCAAACCATGGTTATCACCATTTCAAAAACAGTAACATAATTTCACTATGACCACAGGAGAAGCAGAGAATGGGTCATTTGAAAGATTCACATTGATCCATTTACAAGCAAGAGTTACTATCAGTGCTTGACAACTCCTGCATAGTACAAAACATGTGTCATTACTCAACTGTCCATATTTGGTTCTCAAATACTTTTATTTTGTATAAGATCACACTTTTGTCTTATAATTATATCAACTGTCAAAGAACAAAAAGCTTTCGCCAAGCAATGTCTGCTGTACAAACACCCATACATGTGCCAAGATAATGGCTTAAAACATAAAACTCTACCCTTTTCTTCATCATTCATTGCAGTTCACAGAATATTCATTAATCATACAATTTTAAAAATGTGAAGCATGCCGACAAAATGAGTTAGTTTTCAGATTCAAACCTTTTGAAATAGATGTATAACACTTAAAGGTGAAGTTTTTACAATTAATAAGTATGAAATAATAAAAGGCATGTTAAAATTAAAGAATATGGCATCAATTTAAAAATCTACAAATTTGACCCTCGTGTCACTTCTTGGCCAATATTTCCATAATTTGTGGATTGCGAAAAGTAACTCATTTTGTCAGCACGCCTTACGAATTCAAAATTAGTGAACTTTCACTTGAAATAAAAAGAGTAATAATCTATCTCACCTGTTCATCATGACCTCCAGAAGCAAAGTACTGACCATCGCGTGAAAACATCACTGATGTCACAGGACCCTGAAAAAAAAGAAATACACAATTCACAGAAAGAATGCTCATTCTGGTAAATATCTTACTAGAATGAACTAACAAAGCTACCATAAAAGGGTGAATGAGATGAGTACACGCAAAATACAGTCCTGAATTTTCACAAAATGAGCTAAACACAAGACAGCTAAACTGAAAGGAGATGCCACCTTTTCGAATGGGCGTTAAAGTAAATTCAATTACGTGAAAGAACACTCTTAAAAAATTCAGATCAGATAAACATGAAACAGGCTTCTTAGTAATTGCTTCTAAACATCCTTAGTTATGATAATCTTTCGACACATAAGCAAATTCAAAAGTCAGGTACATCTTTCTCCTCTGACTAATGTCACAAGGATGGAGGTTCAGATTGGGTTTATTTTTGGAGTGGCATTGATTCGGATTAGAAAAACTGCGACAAATCTTATGTTTATAGCTCATTTCATTATGTGGCCAGAGACAAACATCACAGGAAAAACATGATCAGGGTATAAAATCATATGAAGTTTTCTTCGGCCTTCTCAGCCTTGGCTGCCCGAACTTATAAGATCCATGTACTGGAGTTCCTGTGGAATGACAGAAGGATTTACACCATAACATTCTGAGGCACGTGTGCATAGTGCAGAAGAATTTTAAAAAAGACCATGCTGAGGGGTCTACTTGGGTTCATAGGTTCAAAAAGGTAAAAATCCTTTATGGTATAGAATGTGGTCGCTTTTGTCACCCCTATGAAGTTGGAAAGTCCACTCTTTTCAACCAATGCCAGTCAGATGAAGGTTCTTTTAATATCCCCGGAGGAAACAAAGCGGTAATTTGGAATGAACAGGCTATCAAAGAGAGTTATTATGAACCAGTGTGAGCATTCAGGGGAATACACAACAATAAATAACAATTTTTAAAACTTTAAGTGGCCAAGTGGCACATTCTTGTTGTCATGAGATACTGGTGCTAATAACATGATTGTAAACAATTTCTTCATTCAGCAAACTGATAAGACCTTGTGTTCACAAAGAAACCTTGGAGAAAGACCTCATAATTATCACTCAATAGTGTATAAAACATGAACATTTGAGTAAAAAAGGATGGATTATTAACATATGAGAAATATAGCAAAATGCACCCATGTCTGAGGAGTAACACTTAAGCTCCTCGCCATTGCACGCAGAAGACACGAGTCAGATATCAGAGAGGACAAGTTTTATTTTTATCAAGTATTCCCGTTTGTCTACTGGGATACTTTTCAGCCCATCCGCCTGTCAAAAGATTGAAATTGTGGCAATAAATTGTGTTGACTGGGGTGCTAAATGTTTACGATTACTAATCAACAAAATGCTATTTTATTAAAGTGCCACTCCTCAAGGCTAATCTTCTCAAAGTCTGAAGGTAAACAGGAGGAGCTCTCACCTGATGTCCATGGAGAGTGTAGAAAATCCTTCCTTCCAAGAGGTCAAAGATTTTCAGTGTTCCGTCATCAGAGCCAGTTAACAAGTAGTTGCCACTGGCATGGAATGATACTTTATTCACAGAGCCTGCATGGGCTGTCAAAAATCAAACAAGCAAATCATGAAAGCATTATCACACATCAATCATGAAGTAAATCATCAAAGTATTTTCAAACATCAATAATGGTTCATCTAAAAGACAAAAAGAAAAAGGAGAAAAATCTCATGTGTCCCCACCATCAAGTGATGCTAATTTAAGACTAATGAAATGACGGTTACACCATGAATAAAGAGGATAACAAAAGAAATAAAAGAGGGAAACAAAAAACTTCATGTTTACGACTTGCAACAAAAGTCTAGCCCTCAACACATGCCCCTAGGCAGAAGTCTTCTTGATGCCTCATATCAACCCTTAAAAGATTTTTGTCAACCTTTCCCACTGGACAAAATACTAGAAATGTGAAGATACCCCGAAAATCACTCCACACAGGGAAGGGCATTAACAACCCCCCCCCCCCCCCCCCCCCCCCCCCCACACCAATAAGAAACTAAACAAAAACAGTATATCAGAGCTGACTGATGAAATAAAAATGCTGGATTGGCTGGATTTCTAGCAAATGCACAGAAAGAAGCATCTTTGCATACCATTTAAAGACAAATACACTGAATATCTGATTTAAAGTTCTCAGCTGCATAAACTTTTTGATAAAAGGTAGAGAAAAATTTTAATCGGCTTAGAAAAAGTTCAAAGACTTGCATCTTCTACATTTTGTGAATACATAGATCTACACCTAACACATTAACCAGAAGCAAACAAAGCGTAGGAGCACCTGTATGGTTTTGCAGTATTTTGTTCATGCGGATGTCCCAGATCTTGACTCCCCCATCTGTGCAGGCAGAGGCAATGCATGTGCCACTAGGGTGGAAGTCCACACAGTTGACAAATCTGAAACAAAGAACTTAAATAAGACACAAGCACACAGTCATTGAGTTAGAGATTAATAACTAAACAATTTGTTTGCAGGTTTTTATTATGACTATCAAGTTATTAACTGAACCCATACAACGACCAAGTCTAACCATATTATGAAATAGAATGACAGAACGAGAAATGAACACGGACAAGGAATGTGACATTTTACCAGTTAGAATTAGTCTGAAGTCTGCAAATTAAACATCAAAGTAATTTGAAATCACTCTGATAATGCGTATATGAAGCTGGCTTTGAATTGTAAATGCCAGCGCATTCTTTTCCCTAATTTTTTTTGGAGACCAGTTTTAAGAGCAATAATCATGAATAATGCTGAGGTACGGAACAGAATCACCAACGCAGTGGGGCAGCATTAACATCTACTGACCACAGTGAAGAGACGAACGTCATTAAAATGGTATGGGCATGTCACAAGATCCACAGGACTTGCCAAAACAATCCTACAAGGAACCATACAAGGAAAGAGAAAGAGAGGAAGGCAGAGAAGGAGATGGGAGGACAACATTACAGAGTGGACAGGAAAGACGATGGGTGACAATCTGAGGAAAGCAGAGGACAAAGAGAAATGGCAAGAGCTGGTTGTCAGATGCAGTAGTGCCCCCACTGTTGCCCCAACCACGGGATAGAAGAACAAGAAGAAGAATCATGAATGCTACTGTCAAAATTTTTGAAGGTGTTTTCATACTTGTTTATTGGATATTTAATCTCTGATAAGCTGGTTTGCAGAAACCAAGTCAAATAGAGATACAACAAGACAGCAAAAAGAAACATCAAGTAAGACCTGTCTTATATAGAAGGAAATATTAACTCGGAAAGCTTGTAATAATATGAAATAGAGTCTGTATCACTAAAAAAGACAAGAGTGTAAGTATAAGTGCACATGTATGAGTGCGTAGATTGAAGAATGAAGGCACAGCATCTTACTAATAATACAAATAACCAAATAAATTTCCACTTGCACTAATAAAACTCATTGCATCTTATCCATATCTTGGTGTATGTCTCACCCGCCAGTCTCATGGAATGTGTGGAGACACTGACGACTCTGTAGATCCCACAGTAGAACGGTCTTGTCATCACTGCCAGACACCACCAACCGGCCATCTGGAGAAAATCTGAAGACAGGGACAGAAAGAGAGAGATTTTGACAGAGGTAAATCAGCCAAAGATTTTATCTACATATCACTGTAACAGCTATTTATGTTTTTTTTCATCACATTGCAACAGATCATATTGAACAGCATAATGAACAAAATCTAACAGCTTTCTTTATGTCTTCTAAAAATTTGAAACTGCATGTCCACTCCTAAAATTTCAAAAGATTACATTTTAGACCAAAAAATTCCTGAACAATAGAATTAATAGGAGTGAAAACCACAGACAAAGGTAGGTATGAACAATTTGGACAAAGACACCATCTTTCGTTGCTGTAAATCAGTGTAAAATCACAGAACAAGACAAAATGCTACCATAATTTTCCAACCCATACAGTGTTTGCTGTAGTTTCAAAGCATTTTTTAAAAAAGCAATCACCCATAGTCCGGTTTTCAACCTGAAAGTATCTCTGCTCTCTGAACCTCTAAACTCTCTACGTTCATCTTTGAAATCAGTTTTCAGCTTGAAAGTTCTGAAGTAAAAAACTGCTCTGAACCCCCCCCCCCCTCCCAAAAACCCCCCCAAACAAACAGAACAAATACAGGGACTAAAGAACGGTCTTCACATTGATATCAAAAGCACTCTCCAATCATCGACAAAATTTGGTATACTCACTTTGCCGTGCGCACCCAGTTGCTGTGTTGAAGCAGGGAAAACATAAACTTTTGCCGGTGAACTGTCCATAGCTGTGACGGACAGAAAAAACAACCCAGATCATTCCATCATCGTCAAATTACTCCATCACAGACGAATGAGAAGGCATAAAAACATTCATAAACTACAGCCGAGTTGCAGCATACAGTGAGTCAGCATGATAAAGGCCATATTCTGTCAGGAGCTGATTAGAATATTTCTTGAAAAGTGAAAGAAGTAAAAGAAGTGAACCACACAAGAGCTCCCACTAATCACCAATTGTATGCAGTCGTTTACAGAAAATAAGCTGTTTTAGCACCGGAAACAGAACCAGTCTTACCGTTAAGATTTCATTGCCTCTATGTTCCCCCCCCCCCCCCCCAACTTTTACTTTTCACGGCGTCCGAAATTCCGTCTCAGCGATCTTTTAGTTAGTCCGGGCCCCCCGCGGTAGACCATAAATTAGCGGCAGGTGACCTGCAATTTCACGCGTCAAGTCGGGGATTGACCGGGGTCAACTCGTGCACAGCGCTGTCCTATCTTGTCCTTATCAGAACGCGTTTCTTCCCCTAATTTCATGAGCCGTAAAATGATGCTCACTCTACCCATAGAACCCATTTCTTCACCAATTCCGCTTCGTCTACGTCTTCTTGATATCTTGGGAAAGTTTCAACAGTTTTCATTGATTCGTTTGGGAATAATAACAGTTTTAAATTGTGAGTGTTATGTGATCGGAAGCGCTGTTAATAATGTTATCTCTTCAAATTTAATTACAAATCATTCGAGAATGGAACGATGGTCTTTACTTCTGTTTGCGCGGTGTGATAGCCATCAAATCATATTTTCTAATGATGTGAATTTTGTTTTTCCAGCACTTTGCAGTGACTGGCAATCAGTTAGTGAATTGTGTTCCTAAGTAAAAATCATTAAACTGCAATGGGTCAGTCACACAAATGAGAGGCATAGAGAGTCTCTGAATGAACTTTGTCGGGTGTGTTGGCGTTTAAATTTAACTGTCAAACAAAAAAAAGTACAGAAAGCCCCGATTATGTAAGACAATGGCAGGAGATATTCTCTTGATTTATGGGATTGATGTGAGGGACGAAGATAAATAGTCGCATTCCGCTAACATTTGTGTCAAGTGTTTTACAGCGATTTCAACTATCAAAGGGAGATAGGGTGTTACGTCACGTCAATTCATGCCGCAAAAAAGCAGTTGACACCAGTAGGAACACGTGGTGTGCGTTTGACAATAACAGAAATGTGAATTCCTTCTCCGTTTTGTCGGTACCGCTTAGGTGGCTGCATACAAAGATCAATTTCAAGCTAACATCGTAAAACACCCCAAACATACCTCCCTCCATCCCCATGTATGCAAGGAACTAACAAACACAATTTGTACAGAAACAAAAAAATACTCCGTCGAAACTGCAAAAATTGAGGAGGCAAAAGGAATGGAAGCAATATTCAATCTTCTCAATGAAAGATTTAGCCATGTTCACATTGCAATATCAAATCTCAAACCAGTCGAACGATTTTCACTTCCACAAATCTTCGTAGCAATCGACAATTACATGTCCGCATTCAGACGCTATTTCCCCGCAAAGTTATCCCAAAGCAACACATATCATAGCAACACTGTATTCCACACATACAACAACACATGTTTGCTCTCGGGCTTTTAGGAGAACAGGACACAGAAAGCAGCTACCAAGAGATCTCAAAACTGGAAGCCAGAGCACGAAGGATCTCAAACCAGATAGACATAATGCGTTTTATTTTTGTGTCGCATCTCCTGCAAATAGCTCCCTCATTGCGTGCTGCTGGATATGTTTAGAAAGAAAAATTGTATAAATGTATACTTTTATTCTGTACATGTTCATTTGTGAAAAGAAATCGGTGCTGTATATTGAAGATACGTCAGTATATCATTATTCAGGAGGATACACAATTCATTGGATACAAAAATTCATGAATGCAGGGAAGCGTTTTGGCTATCATGCTCATGACAAGTTCCATGTTCGTGCTGGAAACAAAATTTTGAGAGTCAATTTCTAAACACATTTTCCTGTCTTACGTGGCAGTTTTGTAAATATTTATCGTTAGGCTTATAAGTTATTAGCCATTCAATATGTGTTTGTTGTTTTGACTAACTATAAATAGACATACATTTTAAGAGCATCTAACTCCATAACGTGAGCAGCCATGGTATTGCTATTTCGTACCAATAAAGAGGTTTAGTTGCTTTCTCTAAAGAACAAACTTGTGTTCACGTATGATATTTTTTGTTTGTGTAAGACGATAAAACATGTGTTGAAAAATTCATTTCACCGGCTACCGACGCAGGTAGCGGGAGAGCGGGTTAGTGACCTCTGGGTGACCGGCCCGCCGTGACCCGGTCACTCCACCGCCGATCCAACTAAAAGAGCGCTGTTTGTACGCCGTGTTTTATTAACAATCAAACCTATCCTCAGAATCCTCCCTGAAAATCAGAGTCTGGAGGAAAAAGTCAGAGAATTCACAAACCCAGTAGATTCAGAGTAGGTCACAAACCGATCATGGCGAATGAACATGAATTGCAAATACGCACTAGTAAAAATGTACATCTTCATGTCATTTATGATAAGCTGCGTAGGACTGATATTAACTGAATTCAAGTAAAAAACCAGACTTTATGCAAATCTGCTTGGAATTCTTCCATACACAAAAAAATAATCAGAGGACACTGATTATATCAGAGCACTTGGCAGGTCTCCTATCATACTCACTGATCTTAGAAACCTAAAACTAAACAGACTTCTCAGATTCCAGAGAAAACTCATTGTGGGCAACTCCCTAGCTCATATCGCAGGAGCAAAAAATATATCCATGTTACATCATCCAACTGAGAAGTTCTGGCTGATAATAAGACTTATGGACCATAACGCAGTGAAATGTGCCATAGTAGCAGAAAGATGAATCATTGCACAGTCAAATCAACACCAGCGAGAATCAGACTAACCTGTCAACTCTTTGCAGATCAGTCCAGTTCATAACAACAAGCTTTTCCACAGTATCCAAAACTGAGAGTCTACACTATTTTTGCACTTTGGAGAGAATTAAGTATGATGAGCCCCGTTTACCTTCTCCCCACAGCCTATGGGCCTCCAGTTTTGAGAGCCAAGCCTGTTCTGCGCAAGGATTATGGTAAACATTATATTGGTAAGAGACTCAAGTCTGATGGGCTTCGGGCATTTCTTTTGCCGCACTAGCAATAAAAAAACAGAAACAGCTCTGAGCTCTCAGCAGTCTAGAGTTCACACCTCTAAGCACCAACAAACCCTATGAACCACTGGTATTAGCCGATCAAAAGGCAAGAATAAACAGAAAGGCCATGGGGATAATGGTCTTCAACAACAAGAAAGACCCAAAACCAAAAGACAGCTTAAACGACCTCTACCATCTCTTTGAAAGGTCAACTGTGGATGATCTAGAGACCAATCTTAACCAATCACTGGTAATATTCTGACTCAAGATCAACTTAGGAAAATCTGTACAATTACATTGTGGCTTTAAGTCCCAAGGACAGAAGCTGTTGGAGCAGGAAAGAAAACTGTTTACAGATGACATCTATTTGGCAGCCTCAGTTGAGAATACACTGCCCCCGACTGTGCAGAAAAATTTAGAACAAATACTTTGAACGCTGCAACCTGACTTACTGACCACGGAAAGCTAAAATAGGACTGTTCCATGAAAATAACAACCACGTGGCAGAAATGAATACGCTCTGATAAAAATTTAGAACCAAAAGAAAGGGAATTAGGATTCATGTGTACCCCGCAACATCAGTTGAGACACTACACACAATGTTTGCATACCTTAATGGTTTTATCATCTGAAGCAGTGCACAATGCTTGGCCATCAGACGAAAAGTCAACACTTCGCACATTGGCAGTATGAGCTCGAAACACAGTAGACTCTCCTTTCCTGTGAAAAAACGGAAGAAAAAAAAACTAGCACTAATTGCCTAAAGATAATTAATTCCTGTAGGTAAGTCATGACCATCTGAACTAGGAAGAAACAGAAAAGCCAGAATGTAGTCAACGATGTGTTGGCATGATAGTCCCCACATTTAACCAAGAAGCAGATTCCCCCCTTCGTGACACATGGTCAGTTTGTGCTTCACTGGGCACAGTTTTGGATCCTCGGGGACAAAGAGTAATGCTAGATTTAGTTGTCAGCTGCCTATATAGATCTGGTTTGTAAACACTACCGTCTCTAAAAGGAAAAATTTCTTTGTACACAAAAAGTATTGCTGAATGTGAAACTACGATTAGTTCTACGAAATGCACCTAATAGAAGCAGTAAGCAGAGTACAACCTATGACAAATGGTGTTCGTCATCATGGCCCTCGCACTTCGCAATGCATGATGAACGTTGTATGTCACAGCAGCATCTTGGCTCCTTCACCGGGTAAAAAAAATGACAAACAGCATATGTCATACAGGTCACGAAGAGGTAAAGATATTAGTAACCCTTAGAAAAGAGTAGAAAAGTACGCTCCATCACAGCACCCAGCAACAACTGTGCAAGATGGTCAAAATTCATTCAATACACCCTCAAGACCAAAAAGAGAGTAGACGATGGAGAACTTACACACTGGGAATCCATAGCCTAACTGTTTTGTCCCGAGATGCAGAGGCAACAAGGTGACCTGACGGCGAGAACTTCACACAGTTTACAGCATCCTGGAAGTGCAAGAGAAAAACATGACATGAAAGAAAAAAATAAAAACAGTATTTGCTCAGTGCAAGCAATTTTCAAATTATGGCAAAACACATTACCGCAAAAACAATCATTTAGAAAAACATAAAGCGCAGCAAGACAGTGCGCAATTTAAACTTACAAACGCTCCAACTACTCCAGTGTTAAAATATGTTTATATCTGGCAAAGGTTCATTAACCATGCAAACATACAGCAACATGAGGCATAAAACGTTAAAATAAAAGACTGGGAGAATTCAGAAAATTTCTGCAAAAGTGGTTTTCTTATTTAGCTTGCAAGTAATCCAAGGGATTTCAAAGACAAAAGACATCAATGAGTGAAATTTGAATCCTTCTGCTTCAGAAATTTGCATGAATACATCCAATTATGGGTAAGTGACATCATAATATTCAGTCTATCAAATCTCATATATATAAATACAATGCTGGGAATATGACATATGAATCACAAATACATGAGAAAAAAAAATTGCAGCAACTCTACACATCTTACCTTGTGCCCTACAAATCGGTAGGCTCGCATTTTGGCTTTGAAATTCCATACCATAAGATTGTTGTCCAATGAGCTTGAAGCTGAAATATTCATAATCCATTATTCTCTTATACTTATATCTAATTAGTATCTAATTTGAATCTAAATAGTACTAGTCTCTCTTCAGACAAGAAAATTATACACAAGACAATTTGTTGAAGAAAAAATCAGGGATTAAGTATTGCCTCGTTGGAGCCGACTTCTCGTTGAATGTGACCTCGTTGAATGTGACACCCACTGTATCACCAAAACTAAAAACTTGTGACAGATAAAGAGTCAAAATTCATAATTCGTGTAAAATGTATAAAAATCAACAAGAAAAGTGCATACAATAGCTCAGACTGAGACTAGAGCAAAAATAGAACAATATGCATCATATTATCCCACTTCTGATAGTAGGCAAAAGTAACCTCACCACACACACACTTTTTTAAAAAGCAAAAATAAAAAACAAACTTCTGACTGACTTAGAAAATAAATCAGGGTCTCTCCTTCTTACTGCTGTGTTTCAGCCACACCCTTGATCTTAGGGTAAAGATCGAAAACCTAGCCGTCTCGGATTCATTATAAGGGCGAAAAATCTTGGAGGTTTCATGTGCAAGTTGCGCAGGTTAAAGAATAGAACCCTTGGTTAAGAGTAGGCTTTGGCTGCCACTAAGGAAAAATTCAAAATTGATTCTTTGGAAAATACTGCACTCAGTATAAAAGCATACACACACACACACACACACACACACACATATATATATATAGAGTCCCTTCAAAATCGGACTGTGGCTGCCTGAAGGCAAAGGGCCCCACTGATTAGGAAAAACTGTCACATAAAACATAAAAATCAGACTTTACGCTGCAGGTTGAAGAACCAGCAGTCGACTACCCCTGAGATCTTGCAGAGTAAAACAAAGAAGAACGAAAAAGAAAGTAAATCTCTAAACGTAAAGCATAAAATAGATTTACCTGTGCTCATACAATTTTATTCATTAATTATAGAAGACCCTTGAACTTCACAAAAAACAAAGAACAATTTTACTACTATGATCATGAACTAGCCTGTTAAAAATCAAAACTCTATGCATTTTCATGTATTATTACAGATTACATGAAACTGTCGTCATCATCTTACCCAACTGGGTCATATTGGGATTGAAATCAACAGCTGTGACAACATCTCGATGGCCACGAAAATGACGCTCTAGCGACGGATCCTCCTGAAGAGACAAAGCGTCAGTCAGTGTACAGAGACAGTTTTCATGACATCATCATGTAGTATACAGCCAAGTACAATTATGTCATCTTACCCATGAATGAGAATGTAGAAAGGACCCCAGGATAATCCGGTTTTGGCCCAACTGACAACTATGGAGTGTGGGTTTTTACGGCACAGACGATTACTTCTGGTTCTTAGACTAACGATTACTTTTCTACATGCGTGCCGATATCAAACCTAATTGCAAAACATCAAATTATGGTTAAATTCGGAGAGGAGGGGGGGGGGGGGGGGGAGGCATGCCCTCTGAAATCCCCAATGTTATTGTTAGGTCTGACACACCCCTTGTTGAAAGGAAGTGGCTATCCTCACCAGGGGTGAGAACAGCCCGTATCTTGTTATTCTCACCCCCCCTCAACCCAACAGGTGTGCTATATATATACAGTAGGCCTATAGCACACACACACACGGAACAGCACAGAGAATAAGTTGTGCAGGCCCAGATAAGTTTCGGGTTAAGTTTATTTTTAAAATGGGCCATTTCACACCATGAACAGCAAACAACTGTGAAAAACAAAACACCCCCCCCCCCCCAAAAAAAACAACCCAAACAGACGAGCTACATTAAATATAGACATCTATTAATCTATGTCAGCAGCAGAACATTTTTTTTTCTTGATACCTACCGGTACTCATACTTATAGCTTGAATTTTAAGAAGGCAATGGATATTTGATTTTAAAAAGCAAAACAAATTAAGGCTATGGAAACGGTAATCAGTAGTTGGCCTACATGAGGAAACAAGCGCCAAGCACTCATGAGTCATTTCCCAACCACATGCGGTTAGCCACCAAGGGACCAGGTGAATTTATCGGCCTGCGAGAGGTCAGGGGGGAGTCCCCGCCTCATGCCCACCCCCGGGTGGGGGTGAGAACATCGGATCATGAGCTATTCTCACCAGGGGTGAAAATATAGGTGGCCTTGTTAAAAACAAGTGAAATATTACTGCTCGTTTTGTACTGAAAAATACCATCACATCTCTCGCTCTCATTCGGATAAAACATCAACACTGAATATTCAAGTCAGTATCGATCCAGTACTCTTGGGGCTAAAACCGCAAAATGCCGAATCCCCTCCAATCTAAATCATGATCCATTTAGTATAATATATTTATGGACAGAGACTGAGCTGGAGATTTCAGTAGTCACTGACTTCCGACTTACACTGACTTAAATCTTGAGGACATTTTTTAAATTGGCTAAAAGAGAGGACAGGAGTGAACTACACTACCTTGCTATACATTTGTCCCTACGCGATGAGTGGGAAAAAATGAGGAAATGCTAGGCCCAATTAATTTCCATCATTCTTTTGAAACGCATGTGTGCCAATAATATTTTGTAGTGTATGCACACACCCAGTGCGAATAATTTCATAGTAATCACAAACCCTGTGCGAATAAAATTTTACAGTATTCACTCAGTATTCATGGGACGACTTCCGTAACGAGCGACCACTATGGGACAGAGCAGAATTGAGGGCTAGGGGTAGGGGTAGATCTAGGGGTAGGGGTAGGGGTAGATCTAGGGGTAGGGTTTGGGTTAGGGTTAGAACTAGGCCTCTTCTTTATGGAAGTGGCTATTCTCATCCGGGGTGAGAATAGAAAAACGATCTACCTCTCACCCCGGGTGAGACTTGCCAGCGTAGGCTATTCTCACCCGGTGCGAAACAAGACCTGCTTTTCCTCATTTTGGAATACTGTCTATCGGTGTGGATGATCAAATTGATAAAAGCCAAGAAAAAATTACGTTATAGCACAAAAGTAAGCTAATTTGATCGTCTTCAAAGATGCTATGGCTATTTCACTGTTCGAATCGAGCCGAACTACGCGGGTCGCCATTTTGTTTTGCCCGGAAGTTCTCCTAAGATCTACTCCTCCCCTCTCTCTCTCTCTCTTTCTGAATACTGTCTATCGGTGTGGACGATCAAATTGACCAAAACAAAGTTAAAAAATGATGTTAAAACACAAAAGTAAATTAATTTGGTTGTCTGCAATGATGCTACGGCTATTTAACTTTTCGAATCGAGCCGAACAACGCGGGTCGCCATTTTGTTTTGACCGAAAGTTCTCGCGCTACTCCTCTCTCTCTCTCTTTCTCTCTCTCTCCACTGCCCACAGTCACAGACAAAATTGTACGCTTTTAGTAGGCTACAGTCGTAATGGAACGTTTGTTCAAGGCACAGAATTCTACAATTTTTCTGTTATCACAGTGTAGAATTCTGTGGTTTAGGGTGAAAGCAAAATTTGTTGGCCTAGATCTAGGCTATAACGGTAAACGCGCACCGGGTGAGAATAGCCAAAAGACTCGCCTGCACTATTCTCATCCCGGGTGAGAATAGAGGTGGCCCTTCTTTATTGTGTTTGATGGGGTGGTCGCTCGTTACGGAAGTCCTTCCGTATTCACACACCCTGTGCGAATAAAATTTTTATAGTATTCCCACAGTATTCACACACCCTGTACGAATAAAATTTCATAGTATTCGCACACCGTGTGCGAATACAATTCCATAGTATTCACACACCCTGTGTGAATAACTACAGTACAGCCATCTTTTAACCTGAATAAACTAATGAGACTTGTTTTCTAATGTTAATAGCCCCTCCTACGATGTATGGCTAGACTGGCAGGCTAGCTGTACTTATTAATTTAAGGGAGGACTTCCGTAATGAGCGACCACTATGAGACAGAGCAGACTTGAGGGCTAGGGGTAGGGTTAGGGTAAGGGTTAGGCCTGTTCTTTATTGTGTTTGATGGGGTTGTCCCTCGTTACGGAAGTCCACCTTCCTAATTTCATTAAAAGGATGGCTGAATTGTAAATGAAACCTTAAAACATTAAATTATGGTAAAATCTAGATTCTAGACCTTTACTAAATCTAGAATCTAGAGTCTAGATCTAGATCTAGATCTAGATCTTTATCTAGATTCTAGATGATCTAGCTAAGTCTAAACTCTGTCTCAGTACGGCTAGCCACTTCGGACTGAAAAACAATTTGGACAGTAAAAAAAGTAAAAGCATACCAGGGTAGACATTTCAATTAAACCTTGCTTTGCAGCGCAATTCTGTTCACCAAAATGTGGTTGTATCCTTTGCTCATAGACCTTGTTTTCGGCTCTTCGCTGCGCTTCACTCCACAGTCCACTATACAAAAGGCAAAGCACGTCAAGTCTTGTCTTGTTTTGCTTTGAAATTCGAGGCAAGGCAATACTAGTGATAAACCAAAATGAAAACGGTTCTTCGATTATTTACTACTTTTATTTGTTCTTACCCATCAATATTCCGGTACAATACTTTGCTCGCCCAGTTATCTATGCCTAAATTTCTGATGATATTTCAATGATAGTTTTCAACTTTAAATAAAAGAGAAGGTTTTATGAAGGTATTGAAAAATGTATGCCCCGAATATTTAAATAGAGACTCATGTAAAGAGAATCAGTGTCAGGCAAATGTAAACAATTTCTGATGCTCTGAATTTCCTGGAAATGGTGGTTGGTGGATAGGCTTAGGGCCCAAGAAACAATTCAGAAATACACAGCCCTTTAGTCTTGTTGACATGCACTCAATATTATTTTACTAAGCATCTTGATATATTAGAAAAACGTGGATGTTTCACTGTATTTTTTCTTGAAAAAAATTAAGTCTTTGAGTTTTAGTTTTGAGTTTTGCTTGATTTATTTTTAGCATATTTTTCACGTCCCCTAGCTGTTATCTATTTATAGACTCATTCTCACCGTATAAAAACATAAACATTGAGAGGGATGGATCCTGCTGGGGAGACTCATTTCTCACTTTCTCACAGTGGCGCAAGATCGTGGACTGTTTTTATACAAATGATCAAACAGACTGTCACTGCTTCCAACGACTCTGAGTAGATCTAGGTGGTCGAAGACTAGATTTATATAGAGAAGTCAGAAGAGTACCTCGCTACAGGTTTAGAATCGGACAGTTTCTTCTGAGGCTGAGGATCATAAGCATGGCTGCATTAGAAGTAGAGGTTTGTTATAGAGATCTAAAATCTAGATTTTTAGATCTAGAATCTAGATCTAGATCTAGATCTAGATCTAGATCTAGATTCTAGATGTAGATCTAATTTGTATAAAATTGTTTGTGTTGCTTCTTAGTTTTGGAAGCTTGGCTTGGACTTGAGTTAGAGGTCTGCCACCTCGGGATGAGAATAGTGCAGGCGAGTCTTTTGGCTATTCTCACCCTGTGCGCGTTCACCGTTATAGCCTAGATCTAGGCCAACAAATTTCGCGTTCACCCTAAACCACAGAATTCTACACTGTGATAACAGAAACATTGTAGAATTCTGTGCCGTGAACAAACGTTCCATTACAACTGTCTGTAGCCTACTAAAAGCGTACAATTTTGTCTGTGGGCAGTGGAGAGAGAGAAAGAGAGAGAGAGAGGAGTAGCGCAAGAACTTCCGGGCAAAACAAAATGGCGACCCGCGTAGTTCGGCTCGATTCGAAAAGTTAAATAGCTGTAGACTGTAGCATCTTTGTAGACAACCAAATTAATTTACTTTTGTGTTTTAACATCATTTTTTAACTTTGTTTTGGTCAATTTGATTGTCCACACCGATAGACAGTATTCAGAAAGAGAGAGAGAGGGGAGGAGTAGATCTTGCGAGAACTTCCGGGCAAAACAAAATGGCGACCCGCGTAGTTCGGCTCGATTCGAAAAGTGAAATAGCCATAGCATCTTTGAAGACGATCAAATTAGCTTACTTTTGTGCTATATAACGTAATTTTTTCTTGGCTTTTATCAATTTGATCATCCACACCGATAGACAGTATTCCAAAATGAGGAAAAGCAGGTCTTGTTTCGCACCGGGTGAGAATAGCTTACGCTGGCAATTCTCACCGTGAGAGGTAGATCGTTTTTCTATTCTCACCCCGGATGAGAATAGCCACTTCCTTCTTCTATGTTTAAAGGAAGTGAGTATTCACACCGGATGTGCCTTTAAGAATTAATATTATTCGCTCCGGGTGTGCGAATAAGAAATAATATTATTCGCACAGGGTCGAGCCTACGTTGATTTTTGGACCTCGTTTGTCTCACCCAAGTATCCCACCTTTTGGCAAAGGCTTTAAATGTTAAAACAACTGTACACAAGTATAATATACAGTAGTCTCCGCCTAAGATCCCACCGCTTACGATTCCGGTTCGCTTAAGATCCCGCTGTTTTAAGAAAACAGAATTTTTACTATACAAAAGTCACCCCTAAGATCCCGCTCTGATTCACTCTGAAGGTCTACATTCGGCTAAGATCTCGCATTTCAGATCATAATTTGCGGAACAAAAACGCGGGCGGGACAGCTGATCAAGCAAGAGTGAAAAGTTGAGATCAATAAACTGTCCGTCGGGTCAAAGATCAGCCATTATCGTGAATGTGATCACATACACATAAAACTGGATGAAGCGATACAATGTTTGCCCCCGACGGGATCACACCGGGGTGTGAACTGATCGACGCGTTTGTTTTCCCCACGCATCGCACTCACACTTGAGCTTTCCCCCTAAACTTACATCACTCGCTGGGTGGGTAGGGCCTACATGTTCGTTCCAGGTGGGATCACATCGAACCGTGAACTCTTTCCTGACCATTGCAGTAGGCGTTGATTGCAGCAGTTGTCTCTACGCCCGAATTTGCTAGACAGACTGAATTTTGATTGGTGTGTTCACGACGTAATGGTGTGTAACGACAAAGGCGTTTGGGGAAGGGGGGGGGGGGATTCGGTCAGAGATGGAAAGCTATAAATTTTCGACAGGTAAAGGGGAGGGGCAACTGAATAAGCGTAGATCTTGAGACTCAGGATATTAAGTGAAAATGGCACGCCTCATGGCACTATGCACTGTGCACTGTGATAGGCCATCAGGGATAACCACTCTTTGCTCGCCATACGTCATAAACCC